AGGGATGAAACCCAACACAACCAGACACTAGGAGCGAGGAGATCAAATGCAATAGGTTTGTTTTGGTTTGAGCAAAGCTATTGGGCGTGGAACAGGAAAATAATGTCACACGTCCAAGATGCAACTTGGACTTTTTATAGTCACGGTGTGTTAAACCAATGAGACGTTTTCATTCTGATACCGTGGTGTCAAGCGTTGGGGGAGATTTTGAGAACCATTGCTTTCCTGTTCTGGTATGAATCGGATCTTTCCCACCAATGTCATTGTATCCCTAAGACGTTTCCAGGGAGGGGGTGTATTGTCCCGACTGCAACCCAAGTCCGGGGCTGGGTAGATAGCGGAAATGATATTTTTCAACCCAAATATACTGATTTCCTTTTGTTTTCTTATTCATGCTGAAGCCTCCGTAGGGTGTCTCTCTGGTAGGTATCTGTGTCTGTAGACGGATTGCTAACTTGCTTCAGGTGGACTCGGGTGGAGGGCTGTTTGGAAAAGGGCAACCTGGCCGTCGGTTGAGCCCCGGGGCCATCGCTTCACTAACAGGGACCCCCCACAGCATGTCCTTTGTGTCCCTTCCTACATGGCTCACGGTCAACCGGAATGCAGAATTTCAATGTGTCTCTTTGTCGGTCCTTTCCCACAGGAAGATTGTGTGGAAAATTAAGCCTCCCATCGACACATTGCATGGATAGGTAGACGGGATTTGAACGATCGAAACATGACAAAGCACAGGGTTCGGGGTAGACCACCCATCCCAAAGCATTTTAGTCTCTCTGGTCCCAGTTGTGGCCAGGGATCTCCATGTTGGGAGTACTTGGGAGGTCGCCCTAAAATGGGTTTCTAAGGGTGGGCCATCTGTATCAGATCAGGGTTTCTTCATCATTGGGATGGAACTCTTCAAAGGGTTAAACCATGTCCTCCAGATACGTTCAGGGTCTTGGAGAGCTCCAGAAGAAGGCTGAGATAACACCAAGGTTATCTCCAAACCAAAATTCCTCAGTTGGATATTTTGGGGGGGGAATCATGGTCCAAAAATTAACCTGTCCCCATTCCATTTGAGGGTTCAGAGAAGGATGGAAAAGCAAGGCGAGGAAAACCCAACCTAGAGAGGGAAAGTTTGAAGGCTCTAGGAATATATCTTCTCTAGACAATTGTGAGTTTGATAGCGCTGCCGTCTTCGAACATTTCAACCAACTCTACAAGAGAGGACTTCATCCCCATACTGAGCGCACCTGCGGAGCTGAATCTTTGCTCCCGGCACAGCTTAGAACAGAATGCTGTTGGTGCAATTTCTCAGCCATCTTCAGCATGACAACTGTTAGACTAAACTGGGATAAACTGGTCCTGCTAGACCAACCAGTGATACGGCACGTTCGGATTCAGCCAATGACTCGTCTTGGTTTTCCAATGAAAACACAAAAGTGCGGAAACTTTTTGAAGGCCTTGTAGACATACCGCTTTTGATGGCAGTCCCCGAGTTACAAACATCTGACTTACAAACGACTCCTAGTTAGGAATGGAGTTGAGACAACAGGAAGAGACGGGGATCTTCCCCTTGGGAGGGAAATCCACTCCTGGAAGAGTTATTATCATGGGAGAAAGGGGTCTCCACTGAGAGCTATTGTCTCCTAAATGGCAAAAGTCTAGTTCTCGGAGACTGTAAAAATAGATTGGGACCATTCGGTCAACCTTTGTGATGATAAACCCAATAGCCACCCCTTGGTGCCCAATTCTGGATTATGGTTATGATTGAACGGACTAGTCCGTCTAGTCTGGATGATCTAGAAACCTGGTGTTTGCTTTCCAAAACCGTTGTATGCTTTGTCCGGTTGGAGAGAAGACATGGCCAACCCTCTCCGAACCAGACCGAATACTGAGACTGAATTGCAATAGCCCAGATTGCATGGAGGACGAACTGGGAATCTAAAATCTCTATAATAAGGATTATGGGAGTTGTAGTTCCCGGGCGGCAACGTTGCATTGCTCAGAGGGGCAGGTTGGGGGAGATGTTTCTCGTTTTCAGTCGTGTTGTGCTTCTCGAAATACGACATTTTCATGCCATCTTTACGCCTTTTTTCCCGCATCCAGAGTAAAAGTGGGGAGAGAGCCAGGAACGATATGATCAATATTGATTCCTTTGACAGTTTTATAAGGTTTTCTAGACCGGATGAAAACCATTCGGGAGGCATTCGGGAACCATTCGGGAAAGGGAGAATTTTCAGGATAATGGCCAAACTTTGGGGAAAATCTTCAGGATGAGGAATATCAGGTGGATCTCAGCAGGTTGTGCGCACCTTCAGACCGTCAATCCCTATCCTTCTAACCCAATGGAACCCGTTCCCGGGCTGAGAAATTACGTATTTTTCCCGCCCCGATTTGCTCGGAAAGACATGACTTTCTCCTCCTTTTCCTTCCCACAATTATTGGTCGCAAAGGCTCTAAGGCAGCGAGGGTGGTTTTGGTTTTTTTATTTCTCTTTTTTCTCTTTCTCTCTCTCTCTTTCCTTCTCTCTTTCTTTCTCTCTTTCTCTCTCTCTCTCTCTTGCATTTTTGTCAATCTAATGATTCACTTATATTGCCCAACTTTTCCCTTCTCTTCATACCTTACCTACTAAAGGAGGAAATGCCACTTTCTTGGTAAGTGGATATTAAATAGGAGGGACTTTTAAAAACAAAAAAAAGTGGAAATTTAACCGAAAGCGGAAAAAAAAGATATATATACAATGAACTTTTTTTATAATTTAAGAAAGAGGAATAGAATGCTGGTGGACTTCTCTGCACAAAAGTCAAGACCCAGGACGAGTTCAGAACCTTTTTGTTTTTCTGTTCTTTTCGTTTTCCCCCCGGTACTAATGACATTGGTGGAGTTTCCTTTTGATTTCTCCTTCTGTTTATTCGTTGACATAATTTTTTTTTTTGCATTTTTCCCGACTTTCCACCCCTTTGTCCCTTTTCCCGGTCCTCCATAGCACCTCTCCTCACAATTTCATTTTCCCGTTTTCTTTCAGATGGCTTGCCTCTCTTTCCATCCCAAACACACAAAGAAGTTGCTTTTCCCATTTCAATCAGAAGGGAGAAAGGAAATTGGGTCCCAAGTGGATTCGTCCCTTAAACTCATTAGTGGGTCTTCTATATCAAATYGGCTCTCAATTTACTTCTACATTGGGATRGAACGCTMCCTTTCCTCCAAATAGATTAAGTTCCTTGGAGAGATACAGTCATYGTCACGACTAGACTTGTGCATGGAACTTGTTTCCTCCGTTTCCTCCATTTTCTTCRATACTTTTGGGAGCCCATAACGGTAAGGGCTACCCGGTACGAAAACCCACCTGACACAAAAGCAARCAGGAGCAGATCTCAGCCCCTCCTCTGTTTTTCGGCATCACAGTTTAATCTTTTTTATTAATCCCTCAGCAAAGATTATACTTGTGAGCGGAGTTCATTTCCTCCGTTTTCTTCGATACTTCGGGAGCTCGTAACGGTAAGGGCTACCTGGTACAAAAACCCGCCCGACACAAAAGCAAGCAGGAGCAGATCTCAGCTCCTCCTCTGCTTTTCAGCATCACAGTTTAATCTTTTTATTAATCCTTCAGCAAACAAAAAGATTAGACTTGTGAGCGGAGTTCGTTTCCTCCATTTTCTTYGATACTTCGGGAACTCGTAATAGTAAGGGTCCTCCCGGTAYGAAAACCCGCCTGACACAAAAGCAAGCAGGAGCAGATCTCAGCTCCTCCTCTGCTTTTCGGCATCACAGTTTAATCTTTTTAATTAATCCCTCAGCAAACAAAAAGGCTAGACTTGTGCACGGAGTTTGTTTCCTCCGTTTCCTTCAGTACTTTGGGAGCTCATAACGGTAAGGATCCTCCCGGTACAAAAACCCGACTGGCACAAAAACCAAGCAGGAGCAGATCTCAGCTCCCCTCTGCTTTTCAACATCACAGTTTAATAATTTTTATTAATCCCCTAGCAAACAAAAAGACTAGACTTGTGTACAGAATTTGTTTCCTCCATTTCCTTCAGTACCTTCGGTACTTTGGGAGATAGTGATTTATCAATAAATCACTTCCCCAGTTTGTGTTTTCAGGGATTATATTTTTTCCCATCCCATGGAGAGTATGTCCCAAGACCTCCTGTGGATATGGCAATAGCAAAAGCCCTTGGAGAAAAATTAAAATAGCATATTCAATATTCAGGAAATGACATCAATAACCCAGGAATTGTGTTGTTGTTGTTGTTATTATTATTATTTCAGTGATATAATTTAATGATATAATAATAATAATGATAAACAAACCCTCATATACCGTCCCTAAAGCAACATATTTGTGCATCAGCTGTGCTCACACGGCTACAATCCACCCGCAGCAGGAAATAGGCCATTAAACCCTATTTCTGCTTTCTCCCATCCCATAATACCTCCCTACTCTTTGCCCTCTTTCCCCTTTCAGTCCTTTTCAATAATATCATTTGAGAGCTATCTATTTGGGAAATCATCCCACATACATACACACGCATACAACAAATATGTCATCAACGTATAAGATTATTTTTTTATACATTTTTGTGGGGGGTGAGGTGGGAAACACTGCTATGATTCCTACCATTCTTCCTGGCCCAGGTTCAAACTCTCCCTCCCTTCCCTATTTATTTATTTTGTTTTCCTTTTTGTTGTTTTTGTTTTGTTTGGTCCCTCTTCCTTTTTTCCGTTCTGCATGCCGGAGATTTGCATGAGCTGCGTTGTTTAAGGACGAGAGGAACAAGAGAGATTGAGATTGAGAGAGAGAGAGAGAGGTGCAGAGTAGACTTTTTCTGTGTAGCCTGCCTAATTTTGATCATTGTGCATTGCTGTTTGTTATTGGCAGCTTTCCTCGGTGGAGCCGGGGAAGGGATCGCCGCTTAAAAACCTCCCGTCTCCTTCTGTCTTTCTTTCTTTGTTTCCCTCCCCTTCCTTCCATCCTTCCTTCCTTCTCGCCCGTCCCGTTTTGTCTTTCGTCCCGGCAGAAATTGGGTTCCATCTCACCCCACTCGGGAAGGGCCCACCTCAAGCCAGACGTCCCCTCGCCTCACTCCAAAGGGGCCAAACACAGGCCCAAAACCGCGCGGCGGTCCGTGTCTCCCGGACGGAGCTCCGCCACAGAGAAGCGCTTCCGCCGGCGCCGGGCTCGGTCTGCCTCGGCCCACAAGCACAAGGGACACGACCGGGCCAAGGGCTTATCACCCCGTTCCTTCACGGGGTACAGCAGTGACTCAGAGGGCTCCGCCTGCTCACATCCCACCGGGACAGAAAAGAACCACGGGGTGCATCTGAAAACGTAAGTGGATGGGGAAGGAGCATGACCTTAAGGGGCAACCTGGTGCAGGTGCCCCTTGGGAAGCTCCTGGGCAGCAAGTCTCGGCATCCTTGGCTCAGCCTGGCTAACTCCGAGACTCTTCTAGTCTCACCCATTCCCAGAATCCTCCATTTGGTTAATCCCTTCATTCAACTGGACCAACTCCCAGATTCCTTTGTTCTCGCCAACTTTGAGCATCCTTCATTTGGCCAATCCCTTCATTCAATTGGGCCAACTCCCAGAATCCTTTGGTCTCACCAACTCCCAGAATCCTCTATTTGGCCAACTCCCAGAATCCTCTATTTGGCCAATTTCACTAGACCAACTCCCAGAATCCTTTGGTCTCRCTAACTCCCAGAATTCTGCATTTGGCCAATCCCTGCATTCAACTGGGCCAACTCCCAGATTCCTTTGGTCTTGCCAACTCCCAGAATCCTCTATTCGGCCAATCCCTTCATTTCACTAGACCAACTCCCAGAATCCTTTGGTCTCACCAACTTCCAGAATCTTCCATTTGGCCAATCTCTGCATTCAACTGGGCCAACTCCCAGATTCCTTTGGTCTCGCCAACTCCCAGAATCCTCTATTCGGCCAATCCCTTAATTTCACTAGACCAACTCCCAGATTCCTTTGGTCTCRCCAACTCCCAGAATCCTCCATTCGGCCAATCCCTTCATTTCACTAGACCAACTCCCAGATTCCTTTGGTCTCGCCAACTCCCAGAATGCTCCATTTGGCCAATCCCTGCATTCAACTGGGCCAACTCCCAGAATCCTTTGCTCTCACCAACTCCCTGAATCCTCCACTGCAGGCATAGTGAACTCTGCAGATTGTGGTAAATCAAAATATACCCTAGCACCTCTCTCTTGGCTTTGACCGTGCCTAACGGGATAACCAAACCCGTTATCCACAATGTCAGTGGAGGGGAGACTTCAGTAGCTGTTAGCTGGGGGGGGGGGTGTCTGGGATTTCTAGCACCACCCCGGAAAAGGTTCTTTGCCCTTTRCCATTTCCTCTGACTGTTTGGCTTGCTCTTCGTTGCAGAGTGAAAGAGAAGCACCAGCGGGGAAGGCCCCACAGCAGTTCTCCGGCCCCGGCCCCCAAACACTCCTCCCGACACAATGCGGAGCGGAGGAAGAGCCTGTCGCGGAGCAGCTCCTGGAGCTCAAGCCGCTCCCTCTCCAAGTCCCGGTCCCGGTCCCGAGAGAAACGATCGGCGCGCAGCAGGACGCGGTCGGGATCGCAGAAGAAGATAACCGGCAGCAGGTGTGAGAATTGTAATGCCGTGTTCTGCCACTAGAGGGGGGCCCTGGCTAGTTCCAAAGCAGACCTGCACAACTTGGAAGCCGGAAGGGACCACAATTAAAATCGTTTACACTCCTTGGGGTCCCATTCACTTTCCAAGCACCTCACTTTCCGAGTTAAGGTACGATTCATGATTAAAGTATTTGGCAAATAAACCAGATTCTTAAAAAATAAATATCAATTAATATCAGTTAATTAAATCAGACGAGATTGGGCATGTTCACCGTGTTTCGAATGCAACTAAACAAGTGTCTACCCCGTTTCCTCAAAAATAAGACAGAGTCTTATGCTAATTTTAGCTCCAAAATAGGCATTCAGACTTATTTTCAGCAAATGTCTTGTTTTTCCAAATTGATTTATCTATGAACTATAACTAGGGCTTATTTTTTGAAGTAGGGCTTATATTTTGAGCATCCTCAAAAATCATGCTAGGTCTTATTTTCACAGAAGGTCTGGTTTTCAGGGAAACAGGATTAATCCACCCCACTACGGATTACTCTGTTCACTTCGGATTATTACGTCCGCTCCGGATTGTTACATCCATTTTGGATTATTCTGCCCACTTTAGATTATTCTGCCCACTCTGGATTATTCCGTCCAGATTAATCCATCCACTCCTGATTATTCTGTTCAGTCCGTATTATTCCATTCACTCCAGAATATTCGGTTCACTCCAATTATTCTGTCCAAACCGGAATATTCCATTCACTCCGGAATATTCCGTTCACCCCGGATTAGTCCATTCACCCCGGATTAGTCCGTTCACTCTGGATTATTCCATCCACTCCAGATTAATCCATCCACTCCTGATTATTCTGTTCAGCATGTATTATTCCATTCACGCCGGAATACTCCGTTCACTCCGGAATATTCTGTTCACCCCGGATTATTCCGTTCACTCTGGATTATTCCATCCACTCCAGATTAATCCATTCACTCCTGATTATTCTGTTCAGCATGCATTATTCCGTTCACGCCAGAATACTCCATTCACTCTGGATTATTCTGTCCATTCCAGATTATTCCGTCCGGATTATTCTGTTCACTCCGGATTATTCCATCCACTCCAGATTAATCTGTCCACTCCAGATTAAAAGCCCAATGGAATCATTGAGTTGGAAAAGACCTCCCAAAAAGACCCTCCAGGCCCAGATTAGATGGACCTCCTCACAGACCCATGACTACCTGGTTCTTCCATTAGTCCAGCTTCATAACTAATTCTGACAACAACGTTTTGGCATAGCTTTGTTTCCCTTTGAATCTAGAGAGAAAGATCCGGAGCCACGGACACGGCACAGCGATACAGAGCCCAGCCGCGCCCGGCGTCGTTCGCGGAGCTACTCTCCGATCCGGAAACGACGGCGCGACTCTCCCAGCTTCATGGAGCCCAGAAGAATCACCAGGTGAACATCTAGAGGGTTTCTTGGTCCATAGAAGACATTGTTTACTGTTGATGGCCGGGGCCCTATGACAACATTGATGTTGTTATGTTCCTCCAAGTTGACCTAGGCTAGGATTTCCTTATCAAGATTCACTCAGTCTTTGTCTCAGGCGAGTGAGACTTGCCAAAGTAGGGATTCAAACTCTGGTCTCCCAGAATCCTAGTTGGTCAATAGAACAACTAAACCACGGTGGCCCCTATTCTTACCGTCATAGAGAGACATAAACAGTCTTATTCTGGGACTATCCTAGACCTTTAAAACTGCCGTTGCGCCCCTATTTTTGTCCCAAAAAGTCACTCTGCAAGATCTGGAATTCGTACCAATCTCTCGGTTTCCAGTCCCACCTTTTCCCCGCACTTCATGCACACTTTCTTGGGAAATGGCCGAAATTGAGACAAGAGCTCTCCTGGGCTACGAGCAGAGTCCTATTCCAATGTGTTTCCCGTGTCACATCTCAAATCTCTCCTTTTCCATCCAGTTTCAAGGTCCGCCATGGAGAAACGCCCCAAAGAGCGCCGTAGCCGGAAAGGTTGGGTTACTCCGGTAACCCTTACGGCTTTCCACCTGGACCCTGATGTCTCCTTGAACCCACCGCTCTGTGAGACCTGACTTGTCTCGGCTGTTTGTCTCTCACTCTCTTCCTTGCTCTGTTGGTCTCACTAACAATTATTATTATTATTACTAGCATATATATACTTTCAATTTCCTTACGGGTGCCTTAATTATCTCCCCGCTTAAAGCGGTACCTATTTATCTACTCACGTTACTGTTTTCGAAACTGCTAAATAGGCAGAAGCTGAACTGAAGGTCAGGAGCTCACTCTGACCTGTCAACCTTTTGGTTGGTAAGATTTAAAGCAGCTGACGGTTAACCTGCTGTGCTAAAGCCCATATTACATGGTGTTATTTGGCAAATCTACGGAGAAACCCTGGGCTACGTCATTTAAATATTAAGTGAGATCTCCAAGTTGAGTTATGGTCGTAACGTACCTTATACAAAACCCACTCAGTTGCCTGAGAATGGCCTTTAAGGGATGTGTGTTTCCCTTAAAGCATGTGACGACTGGGCATGATGGGATTCATAGTCCAAAACCACATTAGGCATATAGGGAGTTGACAAGAACGAAGGGAAAAATGAATGAGGAAAATGAGCCAAAAAAACACACCGCATTTAAATGGGATCATTTCTGAAGTACATCAGCTTGAATATTAATGGTTTAGCTTCAAATAATAAAAGGGCACAGTTAAGAAGATCTATTGAAAGAAATAATTTTGGTTGTATAATGTTACAGGAAACACATAGATCAAGGAAAGACCCAGAAAAATTACTAAATTTGCCAGGATGGAGTATAGTGGCAGAGGCTAGAGCGAATAACAAAACAAAGGGAGTTGCCATCTGGATGAAAAATAATCTAGAGGTGGTACAATATGATTTGGTGGTGGATACTAAAGGTAGATGGGTAATTTTTAAAGGATAATATAATATAAATGGGTTCCTGAATAAGTACATACAACAAAAATACCACTTATATATAGAGTAAACAATAATAGAATTCAACAAACAGTTATATAGACATGTTGTACTGTTCAATTTCACAGTGATGTCAAACAATATTGTGTAAATTTTGGTACAGTCTTTAAAATAATATCAATGTCGTATCTTCTTATGTGGAGTAGCTTATAGATCAGCCGTCCACGACCGGTTTCGGCCTACTTCAGGCCTTCTTCTGGTGGACTGAAATTAATGTATAAATCAATATTTTGCTCCAGTTGCATACATATAGAACATCTTATATTAAAATGTACTCAAAGAAATTTGTTAAGTCTTCACACTTGTTATTACAACAATATTTGTTGAACATATCCATTAAACACCATAAGTTACAACACATTTAAGTACTTACAAAGCTATACACTTGAGAATTTGTTCTCCTCAGGAGATACAGATTTTTGGCTCAGTGGTATCTACATCAAAGGAACGAAATGTGGCTATGAGAGTTTGAAAATTAAGACATTAGAAAATTAAGACATTGATATTATTTTAAAGAGACTGTACCAAAATTTTGTTTGACATCACTGTGAAATTGAACAGTACAACATGTCTATATAACTGTTTGTTGAATTCTATTATTGTTTACTCTATATATAAGTGGTATTTTTGTTGTATGTAATTTTTAAAGGAGAAATTTATGGGGTAAAAATTATAATTCTGAATATATATGTGCCTAATAAAGGTAAAAAAAGGGAGGGAATATATGAAGGAGAAGTAATTGTTGCAGGTGATTTCAATATGGACTTGATACAGAATAAGAGTAGTATTTTAAATAAATGGAAAGGACTCTTTCAAAGAAGTAAACATACAACCAAAACCAACATATTTTTCAGGAAGACGTAAAAAGTTTACTCGTATAGACTATATATTAATCAAAGACTCCAATCAATCCAAGATATTAAAAGTTGATACCGGACAGATAGAAATATCAGACCATGCACCAGTACAAATAGCAATACGATTAATAGAGGAAAAATCTCAATATAAATGGAGATACAGTGATTCAATACTGAAACAAGAAAAAGATAGGGAAGAGATATCAAAGGAAATTAAATATTACTTTCAAGTGAACCGAAAGTCGGCAAAAGAAGGAATTATATGGGATACAATGAAAGCATTCGTAAGAGGTTTATTAATAAAAAAAAGAAGTATTCAAAAAGAAAATAAGAAATTTAGAACGGAATACAATATATAAGCAATTGGAAGAGAAATATAAGGAGTTACAGAATAGATATGATAAAAAAAAAACATGGCCAAGGAGAATGGAAGTCACAGCCCAACACAGTTCCGCACCGCTAACGCCTAACGTTCTGTTTTTCCAGCAGCACTAACTTTCCGGTGTCAGAATCAAAACACCGGCACTGTTTGCTAACTCTTTTCTTGCTCCGTTCTTCTAGCCGGCTAATCCAGGACTAACCAAAGGGGTTCCCGTGGCATTCGAACATACCCCACATTCTGTCCGTTTAATGTGTATTTTTACATCCCAACAATCTGGTGTGTGGAGATTAATAATGCCATTGGTGTGTAGCAAACACTGCAATGCTTTGTGAGAAATATCAGAATGGTACATGAGAACCGGGCACTAACCCTAATAATTGGTCATCAATCAAACCATAATACAGTGTTCCCTCGCTACTTCGCGGACTCGCTGTTTCGCGGGTTTTTGCCTCCTGGCAACAATGGAGTGTGGAAGGGGGTTTCACCCTCGGGAGAGAGGCAGCCAATCATAAAAAAGAGAGAGAGAAAGGAGATACAAAGCAGTATGTAAATCACAGCCTAGCCTTATAGCCCCTCCCATATGTATAGTCCCTACCTTGCGGATTTTCACTTTTCGCGGGTGGTCCTGGAATGTAACACCCGCAATAAGTGAGGGAACACTGTATGTTCAAATTCTCCATTCACTTAATGCATTTGGGGTTTTGGATTCAAAGCAGAGCTTTCCAAACTTTTCACGTTGACGACATACCTTTTAGAGAAGTATTGTTTTGGGACACAGTGATTCAGTTTAAGAGCAAACCAAACCCTTATTAGATATAGGGACGCTTAAGTGAACTGTCATAACAAAAATGTATAGGGACATAGCATATTATCTCATGGAAACTTTTCATTCCTTACACACACACACACACACACATAATTTGTAAGATAACATACATTGCCAAGATTTTCTCATGATGTTTGTGCGATGTGCCTACACACTCAACGTGTCATGACCTTGGAAAGCTCTGATTTAAATATTTGGGGCTATAATAAAGTTGGGAAACATTGAGCCTGCAGGGCCATGCCAAAGGGTCATGGATGCTGCAGTACAAATGTGGGGGAATCATGGGAGTAGTCACCCAAAATTGCCAAGGAGTAGAGGTGTGCGAAATGGCAAAAATCCATTTTGTTTTCAAATTGAATTATGGGAGCCCCTTCTTCCTCCGTTCTGTTTTCTGGACAATTAGGAGGAAGCTGTTCAGATTCGTAATTTGGCACCCTGGATTCCATTTTTGTTTTGGTAAGATTCAGTCCATTGGCGCCAATGGGGAAATTTTAGAGCAGTGGTTCTCAACCTGGGGGTCGCGGCCCCTTCGAGGGTCGAACGACTCTTTCACAGGGGTCACCTAAGACCATCAGAAAACATATTTCTGATGGTCTTAGGAACTAGGGCTGGGCAACCACGGAAAAATTTGTTTCTAAATTCGATTCGCTTTTAGGGGGTTTTTGCGTTTCGATTTTTAAAAGAATTCCGAAATTTTTCTTTAAAAAAGTTCAAAATTTACAAAATTTTGGAAATTACGAAACAATTACGAAACAATTACGAATCGATTCGTTAATGGCGGACGCGACCGCGCAATACGCTAAAAAAACCTCCAAATGGGACAGGGGGAACTTCTGAAGCTTCCCTCTCCCTCTGTTGTTGACTGTTGGTGTGATAATTATATTTTTTTTCACTGATAAAACAAACAACAACTATAAAACTTGCACCAGACATGCGGAAATAATAACGAAACAATTTCGAAACAATTTCGAAACGATTTCGAAACAATTACGAAACAATTACGAAACGAATTGAAAAATTCGTTTCGATTTTTAGTTGCTCCTGAATGGTTCAATATCGCTTCGTTATCAAAAAAAATAACAAATTAATAACGAATTACGAAATTAACGAACGAAACCGCCCAGCCCTATTAGGAACCAAGACACCACTTTTTCCCACCCCCTTCACTTCCCAGAGGCCTCTTATTTTTCTCCAGAGGGAGGTGGTGATGTCACTCAACCTCACCCCCTCTGCCATTTTAGGAGGAAGAGATGGGAGTGACAGAGGTGAGGATTGCTTTGGAGCCAAGAGGAAGGAGGAGGAGGAGGAGGAGGAGGAGGAGGTGGAGGAGGAGGTGGTGATGGAGGAGGAGGTGGGAGGAGGTGGAGATGGAGGAGGAGGTGGAGGATGAGGAGGTGGTGGAGGAGGAGGTGGTGGTGGAGGAGGTGGAGAGGAGGATGGGGAGGAGGTGGAGTGAGGAGGAGGAGGATGGAGGAGGAGGAGGAGGTGGTGGTGGTGGAGGAGGAGGTGGTGGTGGAGGAGGAGGAGGTGAAGGAGTAGAAGGTGGTGGAGGAGGAGGTGGAGGAGGGAGAGGTGAAGAAGGTGGAGGTGGAGGAGGAGGTGGAGGAGAAGGTGGTGGAGGAGGTGGAGGTGGAGGAGGAGGAAGAGGTGGTGGAGGAGGCGGAGGTGGAGGAGGTGAAGGAGTAGGAGGAGGTAGAGGAGGAGGTGGAGGAGGAGATAGTGGACAGTGCTCCGCCACAGGAGCCACATTTCTTAAAGAAAGAGGTGCTCATATCGGAAGGAAAAACTGGCCTGAGAGGAGTCAAAAGGCAATCCAAAGTCGTGGGTAGGAGAAAATCCGGTAGTCGATGAGATTTCCAAAGTCAAAAAACCAAGTCCGTCCGTTAGAAAAAAACTCGCTAGTAGAGAGGTTCCAAATGCTGTGATGGCGGAAAAAGGAACTGAGCCGAGGCTCCCGCCTTGGGTACTTATAGTATTGGGGAGCATGGGTGGGGCGTCCGCCGAAAAGTTTCTATTTTAAATTCTAGAAGGTTCCGAACAGCTGCGCATGCGCAGAATAAAACCCATTATGTGCGTCTTTCACAGACTACACGAAGGGGAAAGGGAGAGGGGGGTCTAGGGAAAGGAGGCTTGGGGTGACGGGAGGTCTTAGAGGGGGGGAGTGGCCCCTCCATGGCTGAATCCAACAGAGAAAGACAAGTAACAATGAAAATACATTCTGCATACAAGATATTTACATTATGATTCATAACAGCAATAAAATTGTAGTTACAAAGTAGCAATGAAAATAATTAAATGGTTGGGGGTCACTACAACATGAGGAATTGTATTAAAAAGTCACAGTATTAGGAAGGTTGAGAACCACTGCTTTAGAGGCTCGTTTCTCCATTTTTACGGCTGTCAGATGAAACCTTGCTACATTTGTAGGACACATGAACAGGTCCCCCAAGTTTCCTCCAAGTGAAGGAGTTTTGTTGTCCCTAGATGTCCTCCCAAATGACTCACCGGCACCTTTTTATTACCAACTCGCGTAAAGCGATACCTATTTATCTACTCACATTGCTGTTTTCGACCTGCTAGGTGAGCAGAAGCTGGGCTGACAGGAAAATAAGTCCAAATCAATGAATTTTTTTCGGCCATTTTTCATTCCAATAAGGCTCTAAAGGGGTCCTTCTCGGTCTGCTTATCCACAATCTGAATTGACCAGGGGAATTTCGCACACCCCTACCAAGGATTCAATGCGTGGAATAAAACAAATGTGGTGAATGTCGTTTCCCAATTTGGCGACACTTTTGTCCAGTTCTTTCATCGAGACCAAACCCCGCCTCGGTCCCACCCCCTCCCAGCTCTCAAAGGGGCAACGTTCCCCAAAATCGCTGGCGGCCAGAATAGTAATGGGATTTCTCTCTCGCCCGCAGTGCCCGCAAGCGCCCGATCCCGTACTACCGGCCCAGCCCCTCCTCTTCCAGCTCGCTGACCAGCTACTCCTACAGCAGGAGCCGGAGCCGCAGCTACGACAGCTACAGCAGCAGCCGCAGCCGGACTCGAACCCCGAGCCGCAGCCCGAGCTACAACAGCCGGAGCAGCTCCGAGAGCGCCGGGTTTTGACAGGCGGCCACTCGTCCTCCGGCCCGCAACGGCGCCCTCCCGACCCTGTCGCCACCAGCATCCAGGCATGGCCGACTCCTCAGCTCCGCAACCAGTGCTGGGTTGGACTCTTGACTGTTGCCTAAGTAGACGACCTCTTCGTTGTTCCAGAGACACCAGATACATTCCCCTGGGTAGCCGGTCAAACCGTTATCTTTGGGACCTCGTCATTGGTAGGGAAATAAACCGGGGGAAAGAAAACACAAAGCGTAACTTTGGAAGCGGACATGACGGCTGGGTCTGGATTCCAGCTTTTTCCTCGCAGATGGCTCCGATAGACCTGGCAGAGTCCCGTCCTCTCGTTTCTCCTCCTCTGTCTCTTCCTCCTCCTCCTCTATTCCTTCTTCTTCTTTCTTGCTTTCTTCTCTGCTTTGTACAAGGTTGAAAACTCATTTCTACCAACGACAAAAGTAGGGAAGGGTGAAGTACGGGATGAAGAAATCTTTTGCCTTCCGAACAAATGGACGAAACTCGACTCCGCTCGCTAAGTTAGGAAAACGGGAGAGGAGAAAGGGAGAAAGAGGAGGTTACTTGTTTGTTTACTTATTTATATATTTATTTATTTATGTATTTATTTATTTATGTTCCTCTTTTCCCCCCCCCTTCTCTGTTTCCTTTTCCTCCCCAAACAAACGTAGCTCACAGAACTCTACTTTCAGCTTCAGAGGAGGCTGACCGACCATGTTTATCGTCATTGTTTTGATCTATCGACTGGGTTTGTTTTGATATATATCCTCCCCCCGGATGATTGTACTTAAACTTATTTTCAGGGCTGGGGGTGGGGGTGGGGTGTCTGGAAAGAAGGGGAAGAACATTCTGGAAAGATACGGTTCAGAGCGGAGACAATTGGGGGGGAAATCCAAGAAGGTTGGAGGAGGAGGAGGAAGAGAAGAAGAACGTGCAAATAGGGACATTGCGATCTAGGAGGAACCCACAAAGCATCTCTGGAACCGTATTGCTGACAGAAACCTGTTCACTCTGGAAATATGGACTCCGGTGAAAGCCGTACCGTCTCAAGTGACTTTGGAGAACTTTGTGGAATTCGGGGAAAGCTTTCGCCAGTCGGGCGAGAAGATCCGAAGCAACGTTGGATGCCCAAAAGTATCCCATTCCTGCAAGGCTTCAAAACGAGCCAAGAGTGGGATGTAGCAGCTCGAAAGGCTGCATCTGTCGGGGTCTAGTGTCCAAATGGAGGAAAGTAATATAGCCATGGCTTGAGATATATGACTGAAGACGAGCCAAGATTGGGATGCAGCAGCTCAGAAGGCCCATGCGATTCCAGGCTGCATCCTTTGGAGTCTAAATGGAGGAAAGTAATATTGTCGAAGGCTTTCGTGGCCAGAATCACTGGTTTGTTGTGTGTTTTCAGGGCTGTATGGCCTTGTTCCAGAAGCATTCTCTCCTGATGTTTCACTGCATCTGTGACAGGCATCCTCGGGGGTTGTGAGGTCCTCACAACCTCTGAGGATGCCTGTCATAGATGAGCCATAGACCTCACAAGATGCAGGAGAAACGTCAGGAGAGAATGCTTCTGGAACATGGCCATACAGCCTAGAAAACACAAAACAAACCAATATAGCTATGGCTTGACGATAATTATATACCTAGCGAAAAGAGCCAATGCAATTCTAGGCTGCATCAGTAAGGATTGAGTGTCCAGATACTCTGTAGACGAGGATACAGTGGAGCCATTGATTCGAATGGCACCGGAATATGAGGACAAACTTTCTAATAGTCTCAATTCTTGGAGGTTTTTAAACAGAGGCTGGATGGCCATCTGTCCAGAGGGATCAAACGGTGTCGTTTGTGGCAGAAGGGGGTTGGACTGGATGGCGTTTGGGGGCCTCTCCCATCAGGGACATTTCTTTCAGTCTTCCGAGCATTTGTTTATTCGTCGCCGTCTCCGCAAATGATAGCCAGTCGGAACAACAACAACAACGTTCTCTCTCTCTCTATCTCTCCTTCTTTTATTTCTCTCTCCTTTCTTCCGGCCGCGACTTCAGTTGTAGATTCCCATGAGCTGATTCAATTATAATAAAATATACAAGATCGATCGATTGTAATGGGATCTTTGTCGGGGCCATGGCCTCTGTTTTTGGTGAGACACTCTGTCACCACGTTTGAAAACAGGGTGGTGGGATTGAATGTCCCATGACTGACAGGTTGGAAAGTACACATAGCTACAAGGGGTGGACAGGATGGCCTTTGGGGTCCCTCCTAATCCATCTCAGCCTTGCTTTTTTGAAGGAAAATTAGAGTCCCGGCCAAGAATGTTCCTGCAGAGCCTGGACCTTCAGAAGGATGATGACCTCAGAGAAAAGGCAGCCGGTCCCTTTGGCAGACAGTGACTCACGGCTGGAGCAAGAGAGATCCCGCTCTCCGCTTCCCAAAAACACCAAGGATAGTCCCTCTGGTCCCCGCTCTCTCCTCCTCTTTCCACTCGCTCGGTCTGTGCCACGTTCCGCTTGGCACCTCCCAAAAGGTCTTTCAATCCTTGGAGGTGAACTGGTCTGCTCTGGACTGACATTTGGGCTAGTTCACGGGAGTCTTGTAGGCTGTCCTTCAACAGAGGTTGGGTGGGCATCTTTTGGGAGTGCTTTAAGTATAGGGCAGAATGGGGCTGGACTGGATGACCTTCAGGGGCCCCTTCCAGCTCTGTAATTCTGTGTAATAGTTCCAACAATGGGTAGGATTTGGTGGTCACTTCTCATTTGTATACAATAATCCCATGATGGCCATCTTTCAGGAGTGCTTTAGGTGTAAAGCATAATGAGATTGGACTAGATGACCCTTGGGGGTCCCTTCCAGCTCTGTAATTCTCTGCAATGCTCCCCACAACAGCCATCTTTGGGAGTGCTTTAGGTGTAGAGCATAATGAGGCTGGACTAGATGACCCTCGGGGTCCCTTACAGCCCTAATTCTATGCAATGGTCCCAACAATGGGATTTGGTGGTCCCTTCCTGCCTGGCTGAATGGGGCTGGACTACATGACCCTCGAAGATCCCTTCCAGCTCTGGAATCCCATGCAATGGTCCAACGGTGGCCATCTTTGGAAGGGCTTTAGTGGTCTCTTCTCATTGTATGCAATGGTCCCATAATGACCATCTTTCGAGAGTACTTTAGGTGTAGAGCTAAAGGGACTCCCAAGGGTCATCTAGTCCCACCTCATTCCCAAAGATGGCCATTGTGGGGACAATTGCATAGAATTACATGGGGCTGGACTAGATGACCCTTGGGGGTCCCTTCCAGATATGTAATTCTATGCAATGGTCCCCACAATGGCCATCTTTGGGAATGAGGCTGGACTAGATGACCCCCGGGGGTCCCTTCCAGGTCTGTAATACTATGCAATGGTCCAACAGTGGCCATCTTTTGGGAGGGCTTTAGTGGTCTCTTCTCATTGTAAGTAATGGTCCCATAATGACCATCTTTCAAGAGTGCTTTATGCAATGGTCCCCACAATGACCATCTTTGTTTGGGAATGAGGCTGGACTAGATGACCCCCAGGGGTCCCTTCCAGCTCTGTAATCCTATGCAATGGTTACAACAATGGGAGGGATTTGGTGGTTTCTTCCTGTCTGGCAGAATGGGGCTGGACTGGATGGCCCTCAAGGGTCCCTTCCAGCTCTGGAATCCTATGCAATGGTCCAACAGTGGCCATCTTTTGGGAGGGCTTTAGTGGTCTCTTCTCCTTGTATGCAATGGTCCCACTATGACCATCTTTCTAGAGTACATTAGGTGTAGAGCATAATGGGGCTGGACTGGATGACCCTCAGAGGTCCCTTCCAGCTCTGTAATTCTATGCAACAGTCCCAACAATGGGTGGGATTTGGTGATCTCTTCTTGCCTGGCGGAATGGGGCTGGACTAAATGACCCCCAGTGGTCCCACAGTGGCCATCTTTTGGGAGGACTTTAGTGGTCTCTTTTCATTGTATGCAATGGTCCCACAATGGCCATCTTTTGGGAGTGCTTTAGGTGTAGAGCATACTGAGGCTGGACTAGATGACCCTCAGGGGTCCCTTCTTGATCTAATTCTATGCAATGGTTCCAACAATGGGAGGAATTTGGTGGTCTCTTCTTGCCTGGCAGAATGGGGCTAGACTAAATGATCCCCAGGGGCCCCTTTCAGCTCTGTATTCCTATGCAATGGTCAAACAGTGGCCATCTTTTGTGAGGGCTTTAGTGGTCTCATTATAAGCAATGGTCCCACAATGGCCGTCTTTCAAGAGTATTTTGGGTGTAGAGTATAATGTGGCTGGACTGGATGACCCTTGGGGGTCCCTTCTAGCTCTGTTATTCTATGCAATGGTTCCAACAATGGGAGGGTTTTGGTGGTCTCTTCCTACCTGGTGGAATGGGGCTGGACTGGATGACCCCAGGGGTTCCTTCCAGCTTCGTAATTTAATGGTCCAACAGTGGCCATCTTTTGGGAGTGCTTTAGTGGTCTCTTCTCATTGTATGCAATGGTCCCACAATGGCCATCTTTTGAGAGTGCTTTAGGTGTAGAGCTGAATGGGGTTGGATGACCCTTGGGGGACCCTTCCAGCTCTGGAATTCTATGCAATGGTCCCAACAATGGCCATCTTTTGGGAAGGATTTGGTGGTCTCTTCCCATTGTATGCAGTGYRTYCACAWTGGCCATCTTTTGGGAAGGCTMTAGTGGTCTCTTCTCATTGTATGCAARGGTCATCTTTCAYGGGAGCATAATGGGGCTGGACTGGATGACCCTTGGGGTTCCCTTCCAGCTCTGMAATTCTATGCAATGGTCCCAACAATGGCCATCTTTTGGGAAGGATTTGGTGGTCTCTTCCCATTGTATGCAATGGTCCCGCAACGTCCATCTTTTCAGAGCGCTTTGTTGTATGCAATGGTCCTGCAATGTCCATCTTTTCAGAATGGGGCTGGACTAGATGGCCCTCGGGGTCCCCGTTCCCGCTCCGTACGCCAGGGCCCGTCCCGCAGTCCAAAAAAGGCCTTTCCCTCCCGCTCCATTCCTGGGAGCGCCATTTCCATTAATAGACAAGGAGACATTCTTCTCCCAAAATAGCCCTTTGCCTCTGGATGATAAGGGCCAGCTGGCGCAGGCGAGGCCCGGCCGGACAAAGGAGCGTTGGCCATGTCGGAGCGCCAGGTGCCCTTCACCTTCCTCCGCAGCCCCAGCTGGGAGCCCTTCCGGGACTG